GAACTGGAAAACACCAAGGAATTGTTGTTGTGTGTTGGATTAACTTGAATCAAGGAACCATTGAGGTTTGTGTAATTCTTAACCCTTTTATTACATTACGCTAGCAACCATGGCCAAACAGCGATGCTGTACATTCTCATCCAAGGAGAACCTTAGATGAGGATACTGATGCGAACCATGTGATGTCAGTGTTGTGTGGACGACGGGACGATAGTGATATTCCAAATATAGTTTCGATTACGACGGAGTCGCACTAATGGGAGAGATACTATTCTCACTGCAAAAAAACTATTTAAATCATATCTCTACATCAGTTAGTGACACATGTACGTACAAAATGTGCTATTAATCGGTTTTTGTGAAATTCTTTTCCCTTCCAATCCAAAATGGTGAAAATAGAGTTGATGGGAATCCAACCAGGGACTCTGTGTTCAAAAGAAGCAGAACAGAGCCTGTTCCGGAGAATGTCCAGTAGATCTTTAATTCCACGGGCCAGCTTATCCAAGCTCCCTACACCAAGTCCCACACTCAGACCGAACCTTACCACAAACTCTGTCGTGTCATCCAGTTTCACAGCCCTAAAGACTCAAGGCACCAAACTGACTGGGAGGAGAAGTGCTATGCTAAGTCGCGGATGCACCCCTAATAGTGGCCCTGTGGTGAAGAAAGGTGCTATGGGTGATGATCTGATGTGTAGGTTGTCACTGCCGTGCCCACATGGATGCTGCTACTGTGTGTATGGTAGACTCCTGGGCCCTGTTCGTGTATACATGTCCAACTTCACCCCGCAAAAGGATGAGAGAAAGATCAAAGGTATAAAGGATGGAAATGGAAAGAATGTGTTCCCTGTGTCTAGAAAACGTGACTTGAAAGGTCTTGTGTACGACCACGATACCTTCTCACTTCACCCGCCATTGCTGAACAGACGTCAACATACCGTTAGAGCTTTCAGAACATCCGGGTATCGACACATAACCGGAAGTTCCAATACTTCTTCTCGGTATCCAAGGATCTGGACTTCCCGAACTCGCCTCCCTCAAAGACTCAGTTGAAGTAGTCCGCTTATATCAGTGAATTACATAACTGAGTCGCTTCTAGTCTGGATATTATGTAATCGTCGGGTTTATGCATGCATTTAATGTTCGTGGGACACATCTTGTTACCTACCAACCTTTCCCCGTTGGTAAAACCAGTTGACACAAAGGTAATATTAAGTACGCAATTATATTTTCTAAAAACAATACACAGTCTCAATATACAGAGCGTGGATACTCTTTAGTGGTACAATAAGGTGATTGTATTTCTATTTTGACTTAACGAGAAAAACGAAAACTGATTTGTCTTCAAAGATCACATTTTATGTCAACTTTGTATGTATATTCTTGTCAACACTATTACATCATCGGAAAATGGACTTCAGGCGTGAAATGTAGATAAGTATAACATCCATTCCATTCTAATGTGATCACATATGGAACAGTCAAGCAGCTTCTGAAACATACGTGTCAATACATACTAGAGTGTTTCATGTATCTATGGCTGAGTTGGATATTGCTGCACTGTTGAATCATCTAAGCCTTTAGTAACCTCTGTATGGTTAATACGCGATGCTTTCGACTTTCACGATCCTAGTTATCCGGTCTCAAACATTCTTTCCACACGAACAAATATTTTAGCACTGAAATTAAAGAAAACAAATTACATTTCGTTTGTGAAAATCCGTGTAATGGCACGTTCTTTACAAACAAAAAACAACAACTCGTTTGCGAGAGCTATTTGGATGTAAAAAGCATTATTTGCTTAGGAAAAAATGATAGATACATGTGTTGGGAAGGTGAATGGATGGGTGTTTGATAGGTAAACAAATTTGTTACAAACGTACTAAGAAAAAAACATTGAACTTTGAAACTCGAAATGATGGAGACTATTGCATGTGTATCGGTTTATCAGTGATCCTAGACAAGCGGGTTGTCAGTACTAGGCTGAAAGGAAGAAAGTAATATAATACTTGTGAAAATGAAAATGTTAATACCATAGGCAGTGTACTATTAGCATGACAGAACAGGCATCCAAAGCAAATTGGTTTTTCGGATGCCCATACATATACTATAAGCCCATTGTGACAATGTAGGTTAATCAAATCTGCGACACAGTAGAATGAATAGTGCGAAACAAAGCCGTAGAAATCAAGGATGTATGACGAAAGTCAACTGACTTTTATACATTGGAATTGTATACGTTTAGCTACAGTTTACAATGGGGTATTGCTATATGTAATAATACCTGTTTCTGCTATCACTGTATCTAGTCAATGTTACAATAAATATGTCAACAATCACAATCAGGTGTATTTGATTTAATCTATTGTTCATCTGTGATAAATGCTCCCGATCTGCCGGGTGGTGACAATATATACATATTACATTTTCAACCCAATTTGCCGAATACGTGAGGCTATAGGCATTTTATATGTTTCAGAAAAAGGCGTCCGCGTAGAATTCTATGGACAAATTTTTATTCTGTAACTGTGGTCATCTTATATTTCATATTAAAGTCTATATGCAATTAAGAAATCCAAACAGTACAGAAACATATTAGCTGATCCTTTGATATATGTCAATATGAAGTGTCACAACAGTCGCAAATATTGGAACCGGGATATCGGTCGAGTTAAACATTCACTTTAATCAAATGTTGCATGCATGTAAAACCATGGACATGGTGAATGGACACGAGATATACTGTTGTACATATGAGATACATACAAAAAAAAGTTAGTTCCCTAAACATATATCAACCCACAAAGACAACAAACATCAATCAGAATTCATTTAAGAACAGCAACAACTATTACATGTACAACTAAAATAAACGACTCTAATCTACATGTATATATACTACTCAAAAGAAGTTAATGATCACCTGATTCTTTCATATTACTATAGTTAATCTCTCATGTCATGACAGATTGACTTTACCATTATGAAAGAATCGGTGATCCTTAACTTCTTTTGAGTAGTATAATTACAACAGGGTAACTTGAACCATGCAAGTAAATAAATTGTTGTATTTCTTGTAAATTAACTTTAAAATTATCATGTTCTTCTTCATTATCGCTAAAGGGGGTTAATGTTCAATGTCTTTCAGAGTGGGTCAAGTCAGTACATAATGTTGTAATTGGTAGAATGCACTGAAAAAGAGGAAACAGAAACGGAAAAAAACCTGGCTGCCCGACATGAAAGGTTTGTAGTTGTCCCCACTGACAAGGTCTCAAATAGCATAATAATTATATGAAGGCATTACTACCTTAATTGTTTGATCAAAGAACTTGGTATAAGTGACATATCAAATAATACCACGTATAAGGCCAGAATATTAACTGGTAAGAAATCTTCCACAACCATGCATCAGTACTATCAACTTTTGACCTGGCACTAAAACCTGAAGATATGTCCATTCCTCTTTTGAACTGGATTCCAAAGTTCCATAAAAATCCGTACAAAGAGAGATACATTGCTGGGTCAGGCAAATGTACCACAAAATCCTTGTCTCGGCGATTACCCATAATCCTAAATACAATCAAGGGAGGACTTTCTATATATTCAAGGTAATTTGGCCAAGATTTTCAATGATCTGATATCGTTCAATGACCATCAAATAGCCAGTCCCTTCCACCGTTTTACCCACCTGAACTAGAAATATAGACGACCAGTGAGACAGCTTCATCTGTTTCACATTTAGATCCATGTAGACATATCCAGAGTGACAAAACACTCTCCACAGGACTATATGTCAAGAGGAGTGACTTCAAATTTCCAATAGTAAACATTCCCTTCATGTCGAGCAATATTCCAGAAGAAATCTTCCAAAACCATTCATCAGTACTATCTAGAAGCTCCAGCCCATGGTGTCTACATATTACAGATTTTGAGGTACAATCGAGCATGCTCTTTCTACCAACACTTCAAAGAGCTTCATAATTGTCGTAAAACCAATAATGAACAATATTTTGGGGATACAACAATATTAATAACATTTTGTGACATTTGTTTATTAACCATGGCAACTTAAACACCTGACTTATCAGTGAATAATAGACGCTGAGACAATACTTGATGTTGCTCATGCCAATACTTACACAGCTAAGACATGACACAAATATAGGATTGTCACGTTCCTTCTTGTATGATTTCATGAAGAAATCAGCGTGTCCGTATTCCAACGAGAGGATCACAGTACCCGGTGCAAGGAGGAAACGACTAACATGACGATCGGTTTATTACAATATGTGGACTGTCGGATTGTGTATCATCCTACACCGACGGCATGGGTCGTTGCTCATGCTATCAACCACTGGTTTGACTGATCGAGATTCGATTATTTATGACAGCGAACATTTCTTGAAAGATGTATGACATTACCTTTATTATGATTATGAACAAAGAAAATAGTTGTAATGCAAAGACATATTTGATATTTGACAATATAATGTATCTTTGTTTTTGTTTTTGTGTATGGGGCTGTGAACATAACGCTAAAAATATTTTCTTCGTTCACATTAATAAATGTACAGATTAACGTGAAGTGTAACTTAAAATACATATAGATGTCGCCAGCCTGGTGTTTGAATATAGAGACTTGAGATGAAGATTACCTTGATTAAACTAAGCAAAGAAACCTTCATATAACCATACAAAGTCACACACAACAACATCTACACCATCTCGTACAACATGGTTCGCTCAATCACCCGCTTCCCTTCCATGAGTAATGCAAACACAAGAGCATACTTATGCATTAAGCTGTGAATTTCATAAGAAAAATATGAAGTATTTCTTTTGCTTCAAGAACGTATTAGTGCGGGCACAAACCATCTTGAATGACAATGAAAGCCGTTGAGCTGTTTCCCCGACTTGTTTAAATGAATAGCCAGCATGTGACTTTTTACCAGTCACGAATGGTGTATGTTTCTCAAGTTAGGATGCTTCAACTTGCTGGCATCAGAATCTTTCCATGTCCATCCCACTGCACTCTGTTTCCTGCGTGGGCTTTTCGTCTGGGTCACATGGGCTTACTGTCCGTTTGGTCACACGCAAGTGTAAGCGGTAGGTCCAGATTATGAAAGAAGCTGAGAGGAAGAAGATCACCCCAGCGAAGTAGAAACATCCGTCAACTTTTTTTATCGATTTTTCGATTTCATCTGCAACATAAAAGGAAAATACATCATTCTGGAAACACCAACGGTGCTTAGATATTTATTTACTGTGTGATGACATTCTACTTTACGGCTGTTGACATAGGTTAACTGTTCTACTTTAACCAACAGTGAAATCTGGTTAACGCTTAATCAATCTGAAGTTTGACACATAAATTGCGATATAGGCATTGAGGTTATGAAATCTTAAACGATCGATCGAGGAAACGGCCCGGCCATTTAATATCGTGTGTGTCTTTTCTTATTTTCCAGCATTTTCCGGAACAAGTTTATTTCAAAACAATTCCAACCCATCAAACTCCAGTTCCCATGAACAACCCAATTCGGTGTAGACAGGATCCGGATTATTGAGGTTATCACAGGCATTACGTCGTTTGTCAGGCAATTTCGACAGTGAACTCCAGATTGACGAGTAATCAATGAATCAATAATTGATACAAAATTAACGTAGTAAATTATTGACCGAACACTTAGTTCAATCGTAAACACATTTATAGGTTACACAGTAATACCATAAAGCAACTCTCCAAATGTGAGTCGTAATGATGTGCTTACTGGCAATGGCTGGCATCGACAGGCTTCCAATGCCCTGGCCAAAGGTCAAGATGCCTGCACCGATGGCAGCGTTGTTCTCCCCGAGAAGCAGCGGAATCAGATACTCCAGCATGGGTTCCCCTAGGCCTTCAACGTAGCAACAACAAGCAGGGGTTAGTTTTGTTTTCAACCATTCAATTGATGACGAAACACGCTAGCATTAGTAATAAAGGGGGGATTTCTTCCTGTCCTATTTCATGATGATGATGTTCGCCATGATGAGGAATGTAATGCTAGAGTTTGGTTTAAAACCGTACATGGCAGTGAGTAAGTGAGCGGGACTTAAGTCCGTTCTATCACTATTCCTGACATATAATGGGAATGAAACTATGGGATTTCCATATTGTACCCTTGTGGGGAGTCCAACCCAGCTAACGAGCCAACGGCTGTCTCACCCATGGCGAACAGTACTTCAGTTGTATCACGGCGCGATAAGCCAACGGCTGTCTCGACCACGGCGAACAGTAATTCAGTTGTATCACTGCGCGATAAGCCAACGGCTGTCTCACCCATGGCGAACAGTACTTCAGTTGTATCACGGCGCGATAAGCCAACGGCTGTCTCGACCACGGCGAACAGTAATTCAGTTGTATCACGGCGCGATAAGCCAACGGCTGTCTCACCCATGGCGAACAGTACTTCAGTTGTATCACGGCGCGATAAGCCAACGCCTGTCTCACCCACGGCGAACAGTACTTCAGTTGTATCACGGCGCGATAAGCCAACGGCTGCCTCACCCACGGCGAGCCAATGGTTTCCCCACCCACTACGAACAGTACTTCAGTTGTATCACGGCGCGATAAGCCAACGGCAGTCTCACCCACGGCGAGCCAATGGTTTCCCCACCCTCTACGAACAGTACTTCAGTTGTATCACGGCGCGATAAGCCAACGGCTGTCTCACCCACGGCGAACAGTACTTCAGTTGTATCACGGCGCGATAAGCCAACGGCTGTCTCACCCATGGCGAACAGTACTTCAGTTGTATCACGGCGCGATAAGCCAACGGCTGTCTCACCCACGGCGAACAGTACTTCAGTTGTATCACGGCGCGATAAACCAACGGCTGCCTCATCCACGGCGAGCCAATGGTTTCCCAACCCTCTACGAACAGTACTTCAGTTGTATCACGGCGCGATAAGCCAACGGCTGTCTCGACCACGGCGAACAGTAATTCAGTTGTATCACGGCGCGATAAGCCAACGGCTGTCTCACCCATGGCGAACAGTACGTCAGTTGTATCACGGCGCGATAAGCCAACGCCTGTCTCACCCACGGCGAACAGTACTTCAGTTGTATCACGGCGCGATAAGCCAACGGCTGCCTCACCCACGGCGAGCCAATGGTTTCCCCACCCACTACGAACAGTACTTCAGTTGTATCACGGCGCGATAAGCCAACGGCAGTCTCACCCACGGCGAGCCAATGGTTTCCCCACCCTCTACGAACAGTACTTCAGTTGTATCACGGCGCGATAAGCCAACGGCTGTCTCACCCACGGCGAACAGTACTTCAGTTGTATCACGGCGCGATAAGCCAACGGCTGTCTCACCCATGGCGAACAGTACTTCAGTTGTATCACGGCGCGATAAGCCAACGCCTGTCTCACCCACGGCGAACAGTACTTCAGTTGTATCACGGCGCGATAAGCCAACGGCTGCCTCACCCACGGCGAGCCAATGGTTTCCCCACCCACTACGAACAGTACTTCAGTTGTATCACGGCGCGATAAGCCAACGGCAGTCTCACCCACGGCGAGCCAATGGTTTCCCCACCCTCTACGAACAGTACTTCAGTTGTATCACGGCGCGATAAGCCAACGGCTGTCTCACCCACGGCGAACAGTACTTCAGTTGTATCACGGCGCGATAAGCCAACGGCTGTCTCGACCACGGCGAACAGTAATTCAGTTGTATCACGGCGCGATAAGCCAACGGCTGTCTCACCCATGGCGAATAGTACTTCAGTTGTATCACGGCGCGATAAGCCAACGGCTGTCTCACCCACGGCGAACAGTACTTCAGTTGTATCACGGCGCGATAAGCCAACGGCTGCCTCACCCACGGCGAGCCAGCGTAACAGAGTGACAGGATATGTGATAACAGGATTAAGGTCATCTTCGTGCTTTTGATTGGATTCGAACCCTAATTAACTGATTCTGGCACGGCTAGGAGGCGACACACATCTGTGCAATGTTGTTATTTTATGATATTCGCTGAAAGATGTGGTACAGACACCGGTATTGGCGATTTCACCTTTAAAGGATACCAGGGCGCCAGTGTGGTTGACTTCGTAATCAGTTCAACTGATTTGTTTGGTTAAATGTGAAAGTTTTAAAATACCTTCTCGCACCGAGTCGTCACATCTTCCAGTCACCATTGGATTACGTACGCTTCACGAACTTAATGAATGATTAATCAGACATTGCAAAAACACTTCATTCAAATTTGTTTGGGTAGACAGTAAGGCTGATTAGTTTAGAGATAACTTATTTTCTTACATGGTCCAAGATTTACCGGAGAAGAGAGTTGACACAGCATTTGATAACATCGATGAAGGCATTAGATACATCACAGATGCCTTATGCGAGTAATTGCAAAAAGAGACCACATCAGTTATGGTTTGATAGTGAATGCCAATTGTTTAAATAAGTTTAGCAGGTATAAAGACATTGAATTATATTGAATCAATGAATAGCTACAAACCTACAATGATATGTGTAGGAAAAAGAAAGATGAATATTACAAACATATACAATAAGTTCTGGAGTAGAGAATTATCAATTCTAAACAGTTTTGGCCTACTGTAAAAATTCTCAGTTCAAATAGACAACCACAGAAAAGATTTTTCTCTAATTTGTATTAAAGAAACGAAGATGATTTGGGCACGATCAATTTCGATGATAATAATTCTAATGAAGTGACAACAGACATTCTCGAATCTCCAATTACCATGAAAGAAATTTGTGACAGTATTAATCACTTAAAGAATTATAAGACATCAGGTGCGGATAAAGTTCAAAACGTCATCAGACATACTGATTCCATATCTCAAACTGTTTACAGATATCATATTCACGTTTTTATGCTTTGAGCTGACACATTTGAAAAATTCAACATGACACAATCTGGATTTAGACAAACATATAGCACAACTGATAACGTTAATTTTACAGACAATAATACACAGATATCTAACAAGAAAGGGTGGCAAATTATATGCCTTATTTGTAGATTTTGCGAAAAGATTTTACTCTCGTCATAGAGATAAACTCTGAAGCTATTTAAAACGTATGGACCTGGTATCAAAAACGGGTTATTATTGTGCTGTATCTACCATAATGTAATAAGGTCTGTGACAGATACGTCTGCTTGTAATATTGGTGTTCGCTAAGGATGTATCATAAGTCCTTTTCTCTTTTCTTTCTTTATAAATGAATGAGCAGAGCAAATCAAGGCGAATTGTGCAGGTGGTATACAGGTACACCCTGAAACACAGTAATGTTTTCAAGTACAACGCCCGGATTACAAAAAAACACATATTTGAACTTGAATCCTACTGCGATAAATGGAAACCGTCTGTGACTTTAAAAAAAGACAGAAGTAGTTGTGTTTAAACGTAGTGACAGATTATCGCGAAGAGAAAAATAGTTTTACAGAGGATAACCTCTACAAGTCATTACTCTGAATAAATACCTTGGTGTCTATTTTACTTACAGATTGTCATGGTCTATGCATATTCATAAGGCTTCTTTACAAGCTATGAATATTTTCATTGACATTTTTCAAAACCTTAAGCAACTTGGGAATGTAACTTATAGTATATTTTTCACATTTTTTGACACTACAATTAGCCCAAGTTCGATGTATGCAGCCGAAATGTGGGGATTCAAAAATACAGATGCTACTGAGAAGATTCACAGATATGCTTGTAGGAACCATCTCGGTGTTAAACCAAATGTTATGGTATATGGTGAATGTTGATAGATGTCAATTGTACATAGACGCTCATGTGGTGGTTATTAAATACTGGTTAAACTTACAACAGATGCAAAATTCAAGATTCCATTGATTGATTGATATTCGCTTAACAAAGATACAACACTCAAATGCTAGCCTCAAAGTTCTGCGAGAGAGTGATTGTGTTGGGTTTGAACAGTATGCCCGGGCGGACACTCAAAGTGACGCACGTCTTAATTTTAAGTAATGCCATTTGGGTATACCCAGCCCAAGTATGGTACTGTCACACATATGTTCATAATCAGGGCGTTTACCATTATCAGGATTCTGGCTTGATTAATTGACTTGAAACTCTACTGGAATTCCGACGCTTTAGACAAATGAGCCATATGTGCCCCCGACAACCTATATAATTACACAGACCTCTATTGACCTCACATGGATTCTATACCTTTTATCACTCCGACTAGTATGGAATAGCAGATGGCATAGATGAAGTCATACAACAGACTGGCCATCATGTTGAGGAGGAACAGGATGCCACTGAAGACGACCATCGCAATGACCACACTCCTCAGACGGATATTACTGGAGATACAGCACGAGCAGCACGTGCCCACGAGACTGGCCAGCAATATGATGTATACCAACAACTGTCCAGCGGGCAGGAACCAGAGTAGACCCTTGAAACTCGGTAGTTTGGCCTCAATGACACTGATACCTTCAAATAGAAAACAACTTGGTTGATCAATTGTAATTCTGTGTTTTAAAATCTATCCAATTGTCGTGATTTTTCCTGGAGACACAGTTCAGTAAGCAGGTCGGTGGACGTGATGGGCTGACAATGCAAAGTGTCAAGGGGAAAACATTAGACGTTCCAAGAGAAATGCCTTAATGTAGGGTGGAGATATTTATAATTTGGTGGGATGTCTTTTGGTTGGGCATTACAGAAACAAGAATTTGGGGGATAGTATTAAAGGCTGTCGCAAAGACAAATACTCATTTCAAAGTAGACAAGTTTATTGTTGAAAACACAAAATTTCAAAACTACAAATAAACACCACGTATATATTACTAATTCTTTGTCGGTATGGTTCTCTCTCTTTATCAGAATATTTTCGGTGTTCGTTATTTCCTACCTCCGCCCCACAGGCAACAGACCGCAGCGAAGACGTAGAGCAGAGTTGATCGGAAGACCTTCAGTTCATCCATACCCATCATATAAGATATTAGGCTTTGATTGGCTTGGCCTTTCATCCGTGCATTGAGGGGTTTCAGAAAAAGGCTAGTCGGGATCATAACAGCAGCAGCACCCGCTTGAAATATCAGATAACTTTTCCAGCTGTTGATGCCAAGGGATCCAAAAAGGAGAAATGACATAATGGAAAAAGCCATAGATCCCAGGATGACACCAACATGAGGGATGAGTAGAGCCACCAGTCGGCGCCTTCTAAAATACTGCAGTATTGCCGTGATGTATGCTACTACGACCAGGTTATGACCCATACCTGAAATATGATAAGAGGACTGTCTTAACTTTCTTATAGTCGATCTTAGCATTTTCAGCTCAACAGAATATATTAATTAATGACCCGATCAGCTGATCTTTGATTACGTTTGAGAACATTGTGAGTGAGTTAGTTAGTTTGGTTTCACGCCACTGTGAACGACATTTCAGTTATTTCACGACCTACCAGCTTGACTTTGAAGGAAAATAAAAAAGTGACATCTATATTCACTTCAAATGTGCATATGTGTGGCCTGTATTTTAATTCCACAACCGTGCTAAAACTTAATTCGGCATGTCAGTTTCATGTTATCAGCTGATCAAAAAAGATGTTTTGCAATTGTCAAAATCAAAAAAACGATTATGATTAAGTAAAGCTCAGGTTGCAGTCTCTACTGACATACCATTGGACAGAGCTAACCTGGCAGTGCCCCGTATAGGAAGGAGATGAGATGGACATTGGAAAGATCACTAAACGCGGCTCCGAGATATCCCACGGCCGTCAGAACACTTCCTATCAGCGCCACCCACCGGTAACCAATCAAGACTGTCAGAGTGCCGCTAAGTATTCCTTTAACGGGATTGATAAAAAAGAAAATTGATCAAACACATGCAACAATTAACTAAGGCCTTTCATACAAATATAATTGCTTAACATTATTGTTTTAAGTGCTCGCTAAATAGTTGGTGGGGTAACGAAAACATAAAATACATGACCAGGTTTAAAACTATTAAAGCAAAACCTTCCCTATACTGCAAGAAACGGTAACAATTCTCATACATACTACGCTCTATTGTCCTTTTACGTTACATTGTATGGAAACATTGTTGGAGACGTGATTGGCATAGCCAAAGAATTAAATGCTAAATTAATTTTATGAGATTCAATAATTGTGACAGAGAAACTAAAGTTGTTCTTCGACTTTCGGCAACGTTGCGTTGACTCACATAGACTTAACAAGAAGATTCAGATCACTGTCAAGCATAAACGTTCTTACACCAACAGGCGTTTGAATTATTGTTCAAAAACTGCAGGATTTAAATGTTGTTTGTCTGTTTTTTTACGCCGCACTCAGCTTGGGGTCGCAAGTCGCTTGAGTAATGTAACACACCCTATTATAATACCTCTCCTAGAACAATAGCTGGTCTGAACGGAATAAATGATGATTGAAAATGACCATGCATATACTTTGATTTAATTATTTATTTTCATGGCATACCTGATATGGAAAACAGAGCCTTGTAAGTGTCCAGTACTGTTCTTGCTTCGGCTGACAGAGAATCTAAGGTAGGTAAAAATAACCCCTGGCTCTGTCCAGATGAGATATTTGCACTTTTCATCAAAAATAGAGTCGGCTGCTGAAGAACGATGAATGCTTCCGTCAAAGATGCTAAAATCAGCGAAAAGAATACTAAGCACCATGCCTTTCCCCCATCAGGGGGATCTACAATCGCATCGGCTGTCGGGATGGTCAGTTCTTGCCCAGTTCCGTAGTCCATGGTAAATTCCTGAAATATGGAAGAAACTTTCACAAGGAGATACAGTTTGAGTTTGTTTGTTGTTTAACACCGCACTCAGTAAGAGTCAGGCAAAACGACGACGGTCTGTAAATAATCGAGTCTGGACCAGACAATCCAGTGATTGCCATCTTGAGCATCGATCCACGCAATTGAAATACGATGACATGCATCAACCAAGTCAGCGAGCCTGACCACCCGATCAGTACATAGTCAATGCTTCAACAATGAGTCTTCCAGCTGTGTAAGCGCGGCCTGCACATAATGGCACACGAGAGATTACAGAAATGGTGACCACCCGATCAGTACATTGTCAACGCTTCAACAATGAGTCTTCCAGTTGTGTAAGCGCGGCCTGCACATAATGGCACACGAGAGATTACAGAAATGGTGAATTGAGGTGAAATTGTGCTTAACGTCGCGTCCAAGATTATTGCACCTATATTGCGACGTGGATGCACGTGTGTGTGTGTGTGTGGCCGCTTGTACTAGTCCGACTAATGCCGATTTATAGCTAGCTCACTGAGATACCATGCCGCAGTTTAACATGGATACCCCGCTCAGACACAGTATACTGACCAGTCCTTGTTTTAGCCCCTTTATGCCGAGCGCCAGACAGGGTAACAACATGTACCATCTTTCAACGTATTTTGGTAAGACGCGGCCGGGGATAGAACCCCGGACCTTCCGCTCTCCGGGCGGACGATCTACCACTAGACCACGTAGGCGGTCGATTACAGAAATGAGGGACGATCAACTCCATCGAACAATCCCCTTTTGTCTGCTCGGGGTCAATTGGCGATCTAATTCTTCCCCAGGGTCACAATGGATGGAAATGACTACACACAACAATACCCCATATCACAGAGTAGTCACAGGCCGTCCACTCGGTTCTGGGAGTGAAGGGTGGGGTCCTCTCAATGACGTTTATCACCCCAGTAATTGCTGACATTACAGAACATCATAGAAGAACCCGCTAATACACGCGGTTAGGACATGAAAGGTTGAATCTACCCATAACGGTTAGATGCGTTTGTCTGTGGAACTAGTATAATGTAAAGCTCGTTACAAAATTAAATCTGCATCACAGCTATCAAATGGAATCACTAATGCGTTGCTACTGATAGTTAATCTTGTTGTGTATGCACAAGCATTAAGCAATCACACGCATTTGTGATGAAACATTAAAAATCTACTTCAGCGACATATTTAGTTGGAAAGGTTTTGTCGTTATTTACTGTTGTTCTGAACTGTGATAGTGGGTGAGTGAGTTGTGTTTATCGCCGTATTGAAAAGCGACCTTGGAGCTACGGCGGCCGTAAATCAGTGTTAAATTAAAGGGAGTTGCGATCGTCTTAGTGATAAGATCACTTTGTGCAAGTAGGTCCAAGGCAGGAAACTTGATGCGCCGAAAAATATTGGGCAATGTAAGCAATTAAAACAGTGAAAAAACGTAACAAATATCTACATATCTCACTTACATAAAATGAGTTAAACTTATCTGTCCTAATCACAATTGGTGATTGTAACAAATATTCACAAACCATATTTCATAAATGTTCAACATGGTTCCAAATGAACGGCGAACAAACACGTAAGTTGTGAGTATAGTGATATCAACCCCTTGTTCTATTGTCAGCAACGTTTCTTTGGAAGTTCTTAAATTGTTATCAAGCCAGTGAATGAAATAAAACGTCGTCAGTGTACATATCTTCATCTTTTGATGTTAGTAATTGCTCCACCGTCCGCGCCAGCATGTACACATGGCCCCACCTGCGTTAAGTGTGGGCCAGGAGAAGAAACTAGTCAAGGGTTTTGCCGACTGGGTTCAACATAGGTCCCAACCAATATTACTCATATTAATGCACAGCGGTTATCACTTGAGTGTGAATTTGGATGGCTAGTGTCATGTATCATGCATGTTTGTTTGATGTTGTTTACTTGCGTAATGTATTATGAATAAACAGTGTAATGGGAGAACGTTTTGTGAGCCTAGTGGTTATAGCGTTCGCTTGTCACGCCGACGACCCGGGTTCGATTCCCGACATGGGTACAATGTGTGAAGCTCATTTCTGGTGTCCCCCGTTGTGATGTTGCTGGAATATTGCTTAAAGCGACGTAAAGCAATACTCACTCACTCCTCATAGAGGATATTTATCATCCCAAAACTCACAAATCTACAACCTCTTTATCACATAATGTTATGCTTAAATTCTATCATTACAAACGGTTCCTCACAATTGCAAGTTTTCCTGGAATGTGCGATTAATATATTGCGTCAAAAGGTCAGCGCTTAGTCAATTGGACAGTGACAACAGACAATGTAGTTTCAACTGAAACTGGTTTTTAGGCAGTAGCCTAACAACCTTGTAGGCAAAAACACAATTGCCTACACACAATGTCAATGATCACCTTTCGCGGTAATCAATCGGACCTCCGGTTTGAGTTATTTCCCTTTATCAAAGGGAGGCTACTCCCGTCTGTTGGGCATCTTAGCTGGTTCCCGCGGTCAATCGTCGCTGTGTCTAATCAGGCTAGTGCCAGAACCCAGTGAATGAGGCATCACGTTTCTTTAGAGTCTGCCTGTTATTTCGTTAAGAAATGTAGTCACAGTGATACACAGCAAGGTATGGACACTTTCCGTCATGTTGGGACCCGTGAAGATCCGGGGTAGAATAGGTCTTCAGCAATCCATGCTTGCCGCAAAAGGCGACTATGCTTGTCGTAAGAGTCGAATAACGGGATCGGGTGGTCAGGCTCGCTGACTTGGTTGATGCATGTCATCGATTTCAATTGTGTGGATCGATACTCATGATATTAATCACTGGATTGTCAGGTTCGGACTAAATTATTTACAGACCACCGTCATATAGCTGGAATATTGCTGAGTGCGGCGTTAAACAACAAACCAACCGCCCACTAAATAAAGTAAACTATCTCATATTCGGGAAAATGCCGACCAAGTGGCAGAGGTCTACAAGCACAGTTATGGGAACTGATACCCAGATCGTCATCGTAAAATGTCTTCGCAATCCATGTTTCCAAATTGCTTGTACAATTGCAAAAGGTGAAAGCTACGCCCACGACTTCTGGTAACTTAGACTATTTCTTTTACAATGATGACAATTATCTGAGAGAAAGACTCATGTACACACACACACACACACACACACACACACACACACACACACACACACACACACACACACACACTGATGACAATTATCTGAGATAAAGACTCATGTACACACACACACACACACACACACACATATATGTATATATAATCACATCAGGCAAAGTAATTTCTTTAGTAATCAAAGCAGGAACGTTTACTTACAGTAGGGACAACCCATTATTTCCTTGGTTTCATGGATCAGGTTAACATTTCACAACAAAAAGGTCGAACTATGCATGAATGCTGTTCATAAAGGAAGTAAATAAACAAAATACAAAATACAACCAAAACAGTTGTCCTTTGTGTTGAATGACAACTATTGTCATGACTGTTTGCGTTAGTTATTGGAGTGAGTGAGTGTGGTTGTACGCCGCTTTTAGCAATATTCCAGCAATACCACGGCGGAGGACACCAGAAATGGGCTTCACACATTGTACTCATGTCGGGAATCGAACCCGGGTCTTCGGCGTGACGAGCGAACGCTGTAACCCGAGGCTACCCGATTGCGTTATTGGAGTTAAGAACGTTGTCTGTCTCATTATTAAAATACGGTACAATGTTGTCATTTGTTCTTGTGCTCAACTATATTGTTCATCTTGAAGATAATATAAATTAGGCCGAGATAAATTTTACTCAGTATTTTTATGTTGAATTTGAATCATAACATTTGCTAAAATAAAGAGTTTACAATAATTTACAAAAGTGACCCGCGCAGTAATTTTTGAATGGGTTAAATTCTACCTTTGTAACGCATATATTTATGAAATACATAATATATATAAGATATATTATTTTACATCCGTGTTAATGTATGATGTAGTGATGCCACAAAAGGGTTACATATGATATGCATGCAGAGAACAAACCATATAAACACCATCACAGACACACGCCATCTATGGTCGCATGTAGGCTGTAAAATAAATGCCCATATGGACCCTGTTGGAACACGAACGGGGCCCAGAAGGGTTACCCATTTAAGACCCATTTCCGAAACCGAAATTAACCCCAACAGGGCTAATGTGTACATGTTTGCGGGGGTCTTATTTATATAATACTTAGCAAATCTCCGTTGTAAAATTGCACAATTAGCATACGGATGAATGTATGAGTTTAACGCGGGGGTTAACGCTTCGATGAACGGTACTTTCAGTTGTCAGCTTGATGTGGGAGGAAAGCCCGAACTTATGTAGACAAAAAACAACATTGCCTGATATATTATTGGAAAATGTGGTCATAGAGGCGCGGATCATTATACAACACGTTACTGACTGAATTCCATTTGCTATACCTCATGGTATAGCATACCAGTATATCAAGTTAATAAGAATCAATCATGTTTTACCACGAATCGAATGACCAGTCTACTGATAGAATAGAAAAAACCTTCTAGGCCTAACCCGTTTGGATCCAGGTACGAATATAAGTCCCTACAAACTATGTTTTAACGTAAGAGGCGACTAAATGGATCGGGTGGACAGGCTCGCTGACTTGGTTGATGCATGTCATCGTATCCCAATTGCGTGGATCGATGCTCATGTTTTCAATCAATGGATTGTCTGGTCCAAATCCGAATATACAGATCGCCGCCTTAAAGTGATTTAACCCACAAACAAACACCACACTTCCAAGACTAAGGTCAATTTTTCTTGATTTATAGATTCTTATTTATAGCAACAGAAACGCGAACACGACTACAAGTCCTCCTTTAGTATTGACAGTTTCAGCCTCCAGTAGACACCCCTACCTCCGCTCCTGCTTCCTCTGATGTCCCCGGGGGACATTGGTCCTTGTCTTCGTGTCCACTCATGGCAGGGGACCTTTCACCGGTAGTGCAGTTTGGACGTAATGTTAGCAGTATCTGGAGCGGAATATTCGAAATACAACTGTGCGGTCATCACGTTGGCGCCCCTAACGATTTGGAAGTTTGTTTCACAATCCAACAGTTTTTAGAAATTTTGATAAAATGATCCAGAGATTACTAAACGTTAAAATTTCCTGTTATCCTTATGTCGGCGAGTATCAGTTCTGCATATGAATACAAGACCAGTTTCCATTAAATAAACAAACTTACCGTAATACAGACACTGTAATACTACCAGGACGTGTCCACACTTAATAATATGAAATATGTCAGGACCAGATTATTTAAGTCAAGCCAACCAATCGAACGTGAGAACGGCTATTAGATGCAAAGTGTGACTCCCCCCCCCCCGCGTGTTTAATGGCATATGCTGTGGTGTACATATTTCAAATTGCGCAGCATTTGGCACATTAGTTGTTGATGTGTTACGTGCTGTGTGCGATCAATGCCAACAGAAATACTGATTCCAGTCACACCTAGAACAGACGATGCACCGCAGACAAACTATAAACACATTTAATCGTATCTGCCACTGATGGGATTGTAAATGCAATCAAGATAATGGCTTGTCATTTGATGTTGTAGTCGACGAGCAGTTGGATATGTCAATACTCGCACCTATACATAACAGACAGCAGGTAGTTGTAGTCGTTGATCTAGGACGCGCATGAAGCAAACGTTGGTGATGGTGGGAGGAGCTCTACTGAAGATGTAGTAGTAGTCGTTGATGATTTCTGCAATGCTGTCATCTGGAGGATATATATTCAAAAATCATTAATTATATTACCACTAATTACTAGTAGTTTAAGTGTGAATGAAATACAAAATTTAACATGGTGCGGGCGCAACTTTATTACATAACAATACAGGCGGAAGTCGCGACAAGCAGTGTAACTAATGCGGTTAGATTGTTTGCGTCCGAGGCTTAGCTGGGTACACGTCGTGACGCAATGGAGTAACTACAAAATCATGACCAAATGGGCCGGAATATACACACCATGACCAAATGGGCCAGAATAGAGATGACAGTTCAGTTCATCCTCCGTGGCTATACACAACGTGAGGCGTGAGTCCATCCATCTTGTGTCATTACATACACTGCCATCCTCTGTGGTTTTTGTACACTACATGAGGTGCAGTTAGTACCTTGAGGCTCAACTTCCTTACCGTTAGTCAGTGTTTATGAGAAAACTGAGTTGCCTGCCCCGACCTCCGCCACTGAGCATGGTTTATAGCAAGCTCATTCCCCTGAGGATTAAGCATAAGACCTGACTACAAGCGACACTAGATTTGACATGAGCGCCCGGACGCGAACAAACCAGCAAATAACTCAAGACACCCCAGCAATGAGTTCATGAAAATGTAATTGCCAATGTACGACAGGTGGACACCATCCTGTTTGAACAAACCCCTGTCTGCTATGTTAATTTCATTGTGTCCGAGAACGCGACCTCCAAGGTCTAGTACACCTTTCCTACCAAATATATTAAATCTCTTCCTCTTCTGCTCCATCACTCTGCCGTCTGGTTTACCCCGCCATGTGACTCTGTAGAACATCTGACCATATGACTTGTGTTTAGGACATCATGTGATGAATGTTTGTAAGATCCCGACTCACCGTTTGTAATAGTACTGTGGTTGGCAAGTCCCCGAGGTCGTTACCTCCCAAATGAAGGAGGAGCCATGCTGGTGGAGGAGAATGCCTCGTTTTTGCTGTAGAAATGGCAACAATGATTTCCACTTCATTCCTCTTCTCCCGTACCATGTTAAGCTGAGTCCATACTTCTGTAGACCTCGGTTCAATTCCACTGGCCTTGCAACTGCTCTTCGGTGAGCCCATTTGATAAGGCTGGAGCCGACAAGCCATATTTCTGTCAAAAATGAGTTGTTACAACATCTGCCCGTGCACCGATACCAACATCTGTCAGTTTCAGTGTTCTGTTCTCATTCACCTTAGACACTAGCGCTTTCTCACCAATCCGTAGGAATGCAAAAATTGCCAAGTTAAACATGGCAGCAAATAAACAAGCTTCACAACCTGATGTACAAATAGCCTGAAGGGCCTGGGAAGCCTCTTCAACATGTCAATTGTGATTGAGTGTCTTGTGTCAGGCGTCGACACCAGAGCTGCTGTATTTCTGTATCCCTGCATGCATTTGTGAACTAAAAGGTTTTCATAAGGATCGGACAGGCTATTTATTTTGTCATGTCTTCCAAGAGCTGAGAGATGCTTAACTATATTTGAGCTTGCAAAGGCCTCCCTGGACATACTGGAAATCTACCGGCGCAGGCCATATCAGAGGTACTTTATGGTCGTGAGGAAATTTGTCGAGTGAGTGAGTATTGTTTTACGCCGCTTTTAGCAATATTCCAGCAATATCACGGCGGGGGACACCAGAAATGGGCTTCACACATTGTACCAATGTCGGGAATCGAACCCGGATCTTCGGCGTGGCGAGCGAACGCTTTAACCACCAGGCTACCCGACCGCCCCATTTGTCAAATGACCTTAATGCAGCTGCATAGTTGTGTTGAGTATTGCTCGACACTGATACTTTTATTAAAACAAAAGCCTTGGATTTTAGATAAGCCACAGATTTTTGGGTACTGGTGTCGGTTTGGTTCTGTCTTCTGGTTTCAGCTGCGATCTGAGGATCAAAACGAGATAAGGAATCTGCAATGCTGTTTTTAAAACAAGGTAAATACTGACCTATGACTAATACATTTATGTTGAGACAATGAAGGACAAACTGTCTCACAATCTGCATAGTATTCTAACATTTAGTTGACTGCTTGTTCAGAATGGAAACAACTGCTTGGTTATTACTGTTTATTATCAACTTTTTGCTCCCGAGGGCATCAGCCCAAATGTTAACCGCAACAAAAAGTGGGAAGAATTCCAGCAGTGTGATGTTTCGTGTTAGGCCTAAAGTCCTCCAATGTTCTGGCCATGAACCGTTGGTCCAGCGTCCATGAAAGTACGCCCCGAACCCACATGACTCTCCTGATGCACTGTCTGTGTAGAGGTGTAATGCTTCATTGGTAATCCAGCATTGATCCAGGAACAATAAAACGTTCCAGGTCATATTCCTAGTAACCCTAACTTTATGATGAGGTTTCTTAATACCACAGATCGAAACGTAGGAAGGCCCTGCCGATGGGAATGGACCCTACCAATGTCATTTAGTAAACCAATGATACTTTCTGTTTGGTTGCTTTGGATTTGACATGGATTTGTCAAGCAAAGGTATAAGCAACTTTGCTTGACAACGGTATAAGGATCTATACCGAAACGTCGCTTTTTACAGTATCAAAAAAATGTTATCCATAAAGATGTGTCTACCGTATCTAATCCTTTCACTACATGAGATCGTGCACCATTATCGAAAACATGAGGTAATACATCACCTGATCCATTCTTCGTGTCGACGGGCTACGACGACCGGGGGACGGTAGTTGACGCCATGTTGTCTGCATCGCCGGGCTGAGAACTTCGATTCGTTGATTTGTTGACTCGAGACGATTTCCACGATGATCTCCGGTCACTAGGTGCTTGGATCTTCCGCTTCCTCGATCTCCGACCTGACATCGTTCTTCTTACCAAACGCACGGACAAGAAATGACACTAAGATCATAAATAATATGTTTCCTATGAGATATGCGTTTGACTGCTTGCTGGGGTTTGCGGAAAGAGGTTTGATGCAGTCACGTGCGTCACGTGATCGGATTGCGATTACCCCCACACACACTGGTAGAAGGGAGGCAAATCCACTGAACTGTGGTAGGGTGCCTCACCTCCCACTTGAACAAATTTGTTTCATACTGGCTTTCACAAATTGGATTATTAGCGTCACGGGTGGCCCAGTCGTCTAAGACGCTGCTATTTCGCTGTGCGGAGTTGCGTCCCTTGGGCAGGTGGGTTTGAATCCCGGTTCAACCTGATTATATTTCTAGGTTTGTCAGGACAAACCTGTGTTCGTTGGTTTCACCAAAGTGGTAAACGTCTGAGACCTGCATCACCTCGGGCTTTCTTCCCACATCAAGCTGAAACTCTGTGATATATTGGTTGGTTGGTTGGTTGTTTAACGCCGGACCTAGCAATATTACCACTATATGACGGCGGTCTGTAAATAATCGAGTCTGGACCAGACAATCTAGTGATTATTATCATGAGCATCGATCCACGCAATTGGGATCGATGACATGCATCAACCAAGTCAGCGAGCCTGACCACCCGATCCCGTTAGTCGCCTTTTACGACAAGCATAGTCACCTCTTACGGCAAGCATGGGTTGCTGAAGACCTATTCTACCCCGGAATCTTCACGGGTCCTCTGTGATATAAGTGGAATACTGTTCAAAGCGGCGTTAAACCCTCGTGATTGTACAGTGTGTGGTACGAATCCCAGATTCGCCCTGCCTATCTTTCCACGTTTGTCAGCAATGTGTCGGTTCGTTGGTTTCGCCAACGTGAGAAACGTCTAAGACCTGTAACACTTCGGCCTTTTCAACATCAAGCTGAAAGCAGTCACATAACTGAATATTGTTTAAAGCACACGTCTCGCACACTCACCCACTTACTGAAACTCACTCAAATGCATCCACTCACTCACTAGCTCCGCATAGTAGTTACACCGACATGTATAGGTGGTTATATACGGTTATAGGCGACGTAATGTGACGTGACAACGTTCTTATTCTTGACCTGGATAGTTTTGTGTTGTTCCATGACCTGGCAAAAGTTTCACCAAATAGTAATGCTTCGTGAGGAGGCCTTATTCCGTAATGAAATCACACATGAGATTACATACTAAACCCCTGATTTAATTACCCTTTTTAGACAATGACAATGGGGTAATTGTAGCATCAGGGCTTTGGTAGGGAAATAGACTGTCAATCCATGTAATAAAGGACGAGGTATGACATAGGTCTTTTTAACACTAAAACTGGCAATTACCGAACACGTTTTCAACATTGCCTATTTTTTAAATACTTGAGGGTTTCGGATATCTAACACCACCATGTGGAGAAGAAATGTTTTTCTTATGTTTTAACTTAGCAATTTTTAACCCAAAGTGACTTTCTTCATAAACTAGATCAAAACAGTTAAGATATGTGGCGTAACGGACTTACTCAAAGTTCATCCGTGTTCGATCCCCGGCCGCGTCATACCAAAAGACGTTAAAAGATGGTACTTGTTGTTACCCTGTCTGGCGCGCGACATTACGGGGCTAAAACAAGGA